CCCCCTATCGGTCACGGCCCTGCCCTTGACCTCAGGTATTGACGGAAGTCTAGACTGCGTTATACGTCAGTTGTCCGTCCATGGTCATTAGTGGTTGATCAATCAAAGTCTGTAACTCTGTAATGTGAGAAGTAGTACCGCTGCCACCATATGTGCGTGACGACTAATTAACTAAACTATACCTGTCTTGTAAAATGGCTATTGACCCAGCCTCAAATATACATGTGTTAATATATGAGACTAGTGCAATGAGCCAAAGGCTCGATTTGACAGGCCGTCACTAAAGTTTTATCAAGGCCTTACTGGTCTTGAGGTTCGAAAAATGTGTTACGAGCCCAGATTTGTAAGCGATTCCGGTAACTTACTTAAATGAAAACCATGATTCATTAAATACAAATATGTACATTTATTGTGTGCCGACTATTTACATAAAATATGAAGTCTTGGTCTTGATCCTGATCTCTAGGTTCCGTAGTCGGAGGTATTGCCAAAAGGTGATATCCAAGTTCGTAGTCTCCACAAAGGTGGGTTCCGTAATAGTTAAGACGTACCGATCCTCGAGATGTGTCCTCTCCGTTGGGGCCTGCGCGCAACTGGTGGTTAATCAGCTACTCCCCGACAGTGCCTGGGAGAGAACGTGTGCCACCCCAGTCGGTGATAACCATTGGTTACTCCCTTTGATGAAATCTAATCCACTGGCCGAGTGTAAACACTATAACAACACGTCCTCTTCTAATTGCTAACGAAATATGATTGAATTTGATTATAGGCTGACTATCCAAAATATGAGGGGAAGACTTAACGTTGAAAGTAAGCTCGAAGTGAAATTCCTCTAGGAGTACTAATAGCGGAAATTTGGTAACGCAACACAATGACATAATATGACGATAAATCCCTATCTCCTGGTCGGAAAATATTCCAACAACAACAGAATAATAATAATCCCTTCACCAATAGCACAAAATACTTGATCACTAGTAACTAATTAAACAACACATCTCATTATACCGTCAACACTTTGGTTGTACTGACTTCCCAATACCACTGCACATTCACCACATATATTCCTTATGAATGCAACACAATATAAATCCAGTCACTTCCTAAATCCCTCATAACTAACACTGTGCAATAACCTTGTCAATCCTGTATGAATACAACTTAATACTAATACACAGTGATTACATAAACGCCTTATGACTGAAACACAATATACTGCAAAGTGATCACATCAATCCCTTATGAATATAACACACTAGAACAGCACAGTAATCACATAAATCCCTTATGCATATAACCCAATATAAATGCGCAGTAGTCACATAAATCCAGTAGATATCTAGCACAATATAACTGCACAGTAGTCACATAAATCCCTTATGAATCTAACACAATATACTGCACACTAAGCACATAAATCCCTTATGCATATAACACAATATAAATGCGCAGTAGTCACATAAATCCAGTATATATCTAGCACAATATAACTGCACAGTAGTCACATAAATCCCTTATGAAGCTAACACAATATACTGCACACTGAGCACATACATCCCTTATGCATATCACACAATATGACTGCACAGTAGTCACATAAATCCCTTATGAATCTAACACAATATACGGCACAATGAGCACATAAATCCCTTATGCATCTAACACAATATACTGCACAGTAGTCACAAAAATCCCTTATGCATATAACACAATATGCTGCACAGTGAGCACATAAATCCCTTATGCATATAACACAATATAACTGCACAGTAGTCACATAAATCCCTTATGCATATAACACAACATAACTGCACAGTAGTCACATAAATCCCAAATGCATTTAACACAATATGCTGCACAGTGAGCACATAAATCCCTTATGCATATAACACAATATAACTGCACAGTAGTCACATAAATCCCTTATGAATCTAACACAATATACTGCACAGTAGTCACAAAAATCCCTTATGCATATAACACAATATGCTGCACAGTGAGCACATAAATCCCTTATGCATATAACACAATATAACTGCACAGTAGTCACATAAATCCCTTATGCATATCACACAATATAACTGCACAGTAGTCACATAAATCCCCTATGAATCTAACACAATATACTGCACAGTAGTCAAATAAATCCAGTATTAATCTAGCACAATATAACTGCACAGTAACACAAGTTCTTTATAAACGGTATCCAGTCCCAGGGTTACACGATAATCCAGTGGAATACACAAAACACATCCAGATGCACTGTTGACACTTCTCTATTCCCCACGCAAGTTATAAGAATTACCCTATTCCAGACTGACACTTCACATTTACACGTTAAACCAAATCTGGTGGTAATTCTAAGTTGTTTCTGCCTAACACTTTTATGGGATGAATCTCTACAGGTTGTCGTTCTAGTAATCAGGCATGACCAAGTGGTGATTTTATGATCGCTGCCGTCACTCCTGTGACCACTGACACTACAGCTAAAAATCACCCCCTCCATGCCTGAGGATGAGATAAGGAGTTAATAAGGTCTAAACAAACTATGAAACACTTCTATAAGGTAATATTACAGTAATAAATACACAGTTAGATATAAGACCCAAGATAACAAGAGTGAAGTAAGATATAAATCTTCAAGGTAGGAAAATCCCCCCAAACTATGAAACACTTCTATAAGGTAATATTACAGTAATAAGCACTTATCTAAACAAATGGTAAGACATATTATGTATTTCCCCAACTGCCTGATAGCCCTGCTTGAGTCATCTTCGTTTAACAAGCCGGTATCTATAATAGGTAATGATGTGTATAATCCAATCTGTATCGTGTGAAATTCCTTATCTCAACAAGCCCTAGGGAGCCGCGCACCTCTTTTTATACGACCCTCATTAACACCTATTGACTAATTGACCAATCAACTTGGGCTCCATCGGCCAGGGTCCCGGATGGAAGGAGGGGGTGTTTCACTATTGAGTGGCTACTCTGTCCCCCCTACTCATGACGTAGAGATCCCTATTTTTAACAGACAGTGGTCAGTCTAGGGTTAATGGCTCCTATACTATCTCAACTGTGTGGCTGGGAGGACTCGATGAACCCCAGTAAATTACACATGGATTGTGAAACAATTTTGATGGGCTGGAAGCTAACGTCAGCTAGGAAATAAAAACGGGGTATAACTTTGTTACAGTATGAAAACAAAGAATTTGAACATTTTTTATTCAATACATATATTGAAAACTTTGAGAAACAGATACCTGTTATGTTTTGGCTCAAACTTTATATAAATCTTTACATGGTGTTTATTCATTTGTTCCGATCAACATTTATCTCAAGTTCACCACACACTTGTTTCCATTTGTATACTTCAGTACAGTTGAAAGACACGGATGTTATTCCGTGCACTTGTACTAGTCTTATCAATGACCACAAATGAGTCACCACGAACAGCTATTGCCCATGGAGATTTAATTCCATCTGATAACGTCAGAAGTTCCCTGACGTGTTTCCCGTCCCCAGATATCTGTACGACGTTGTCAGATTTCTCACCACAAACGTAGATGTTACCCTCCCTGTCCACGTCTATTCCCAAAGCACGCCTCACAACACCAACCTTCATCACATCCGTGTGACGTTTGCCAGCCGACAGTCTAGACACCGCGACGTCTCCCGTCTTGTCATTATCGACACTTACAAGTATGTCTCCCTTTATTGGATCATGTGCCAGGGACCAGCAATAGTTGTTATAGTTATATAAAAACTCAGATGATCCGCCTTGTGTCACACTGTATACTTCTCCAAGTGAGCTCACGACAAAGCTTCCATCCATATGTGTTATACTGTCATAGTATTTACCATTAGTAATGTTGATCTCAGATACCAGGGACAATTTTGATGCCTCGACATTCACGACGTTTACACGACTAGAACTCTTGTCGGCGACCGCCACCGTGGTGTTGTTCACCAAACACATATCACCGGGCCTTATTGGAACGGTCAACTCGTCCAGGTACTGTCCTTTGTCTGTGAACAACTTCAGTTTTTTGTTGAAGCAATCACTTACTACTATCTGGGAACCTGGCAGGTACACAACACCAAGAACATGGCATGCATTTTCATCTGACGGGGACTCGATATTGAACCTTCCGATTTCTTTCACACGACGTTCTGACATGGGGGGCGCAAAATCACAATGGTGACAAGGGATGCATCTTGGTTCTTTGCGGACGACTATCTTTCCCATAGCGTAGTCGCTAATGATATCATGTCCAGGGACAATATGATGCTCAATGCTGGCGGATGTGAAGGACTTGCCCATCTCCGCGACAAGGGTTTTACACGAGTCCACTTCCGCTTGCGCTCTCTGATACAGCACTATCGTCTCAATGTTGTCGTTTTCCTCTGCGGCTTTAATGGACAACTTCAGTGTATTTAGCATACCATTCATCAGGCGTTCGCACTGCCGTAATGATGCCTCTTGATTCCTTTTCTCATCTTTGAACAGCATGATCAACCCGTCGGTGATGCCCTCCTGAAGCTTGTTTAACCGTTTGTCGATCTTTTCACGCAGATCTGCGATACTCTGCAGTGCGATTTCCTGGCTCTGTACCATGGTCTGGAGTTGTTCGTCAAAGTCCTTTACTAATGAGTTCATTACCTCTGCCCCCCTTTTCAGAGCCGCCCGCATTTCTTCTAGTTTTGCTTCCTTTTTTAACTCCAGTAAATAGTTTGTCACTGTTAAAATCTTCTCACACCGCCTGTGGTCTTTGAAAACGCAAACGTTACAGCCCAGAATTTGGTGGTCCTCACAATGCCAAACTATTTTCTTGTCGTGTCGGTCACATCGAAGGGCAGATATTTTAGGTTTCAATCTGGTGTTATCGTTTATGGTGATATCAACTATACCACAGTCAGTATGTATGATATCATGTAGTTTAACCTTACAGGCCTCGCAAAAATTCTCGTTCATCGATTTACACCAGAATTGTGCTGGGTTGAACAGGTTACCTTCTGTCTGGCAGGGTTTGCAGTACAATGGTTCAGATGAACGTTCTCTGAGCTGGATAAGGTCCTGGATCATATTATTAGTCGGAAACTGTTCTACCCATTTCTTCTTGGTTTCTGCTTGGTTAATAGGGTACGTCCTTCTCCTACAGACCGGACAAGGGAAGGATGTTTTCGACGCTATTTTCCCGGACACTTCCTTGGTGATATAGGTCCCGAGACAATCCTGACAGAAAGAATGAAGACAGGGTAAGGACTTGGGTTGTTGGAATCGCTCCAGGCAGATTGGACATTCAAGTAGGTGTAAATCCTGTTCCGGAGGGAGACCGCCTTCAGCCATTGTAAGGGTAAAAACGAGACAACACAGACCTGGAACGTAAAATGCCTGTGATTATAAACAATGTTAAAATAGCATTGACTGTTATGTAAAAGAGGATAAAACATTCATCATTAAATTCCATTATATACCAAAGAGTACACGTGGGAAAATCTACAGATATTGATAAGCAAAACGCCCAGAGGGTCTGCGTCGCTTACCTGGATAATTAAATACTTATTTTTCACGACAAGCATTTGCATCTTTGGTATTGGAAATCTTGACTAGGTCAAAACTAGGTCAAAACTGATCCAGACACCTGAGTCGAAAGTGATAGCATACTTGTGTTCGTGCCATAATACTCAGCAACGAAATATATGTTTTCCTGTAGATCCAACCGTTTTCGTGTTATGACCAAAGACTCACGCCAAAGGGCATGCCAGACTGAAGTACGAATTGAATATGTGTGCTTAGTAAGCCTTAGCAAGTGCATATATATGGTAAGAGAGTTGGCATTTCAACCGTTTCTAGTTGATACACCATTTCATCTCCTCTTCCAGCCCACTGTTGGAAAGTTCATGCCTGGTTTTGGAAAAGAGAGAGAGAGGGTCGAGATGTTCTGCACCATTGCTTAAACAATTTTGAATACCCCAAAGAAAAATAATAATGGCCATCAGCCTTGTCGGGTATTAGCTTCTCTTTTTGTATTTGAATTCTGTTAAATAAAATAAAATGAAATGCTTTCAAAGGGAGCGAGGACACTTCTTTAGATGACTTTATTTATTTTACAACATTTATGAAATAAGTTATTTTAAATTATATTTATCACTTTTGTTGGCCCGGATGTTACAGCGCGGGAATCCCGGCCGACTTGGTGAAAGGCAAGTGCGTTATTCACTGCGCGACCCGACCACCCAGGTGGACAATATATAGTATTTGTTATGCTTTATATCGCTGATAGTACTGTTTTATGATATAAATGCTTTTGCACTGAACTGCTTTCGGTTGGCATTCTCTTGAATGCCAACATAAAATAGTTTGGTATTTATATATATATTTATATTTCCTAATCTACTAATCTCATAGAATTTTCAATTACGTTTACTAATATACAGTATCATATTCAAATACTTTTAGCATTTAATATTTCAAAACAGATATCGATCCAAGGAGGGTCAATGGTATCCAACGTAACAATTACAATTGAATGGCATTGTTAATGAGTACGTCAACATTCGGGTCATTGCATCCATAGTTTATATGAATGTCATCTGAATGTGGAAGGGTTATATAGTGGCAGTGAAATACAATGGTAAGTATGATTGTGTATTTGTACAACTATTCATACTTGTTTGAATTATTGGCGATGATATCATTGAAAGAGACACCTATGTTATGGTATGTTAGGGATACACTTTTCATTGTTAGGCCATTAAACGTGGAAAGGGAGATAACTCTTATTTGTTGGATGGCTAACATATATTATTCATGATTAAGAAAAAAAAAGATACACGCGAAAGTTCACGTCATGTCCGTAACATTAGCGTATATGGATATTACGAATTATTTCAGTTAATCAACAGATTATCAACATATGACAATAGACTGCATATACGTTTGTGTTGCTTGAGTTTTGGTTTGTATTTATCTAACACGGCAAAGGTGTGTTTACATTGAAGTACAGGTGAAACTGTAATATATACATATATTTATAGACTGTTTTTGTAATGGGCTCGAAATGGAAGTAATGATACCACATAATTGTCCGTAATACTCACCCAGGGAACTCTTGTCTAACAGGAAAACACAAACTCGTCTCCTAGTATCCAGACAGTGGTTTACACCTTGAATCCGTCTCCAAACAAGGAAGTATATTAAGCAAAATATAGATATCCAATGGGAGAAGCGGTATCACAATTTCGGATATTACACAATGATTTTTTATGCTAAAATATAAACGAATTTACATAACAGGTTTCGTGAATGATGCAACATCTACCTCTGACAAAGTTAATTTCGGTAAGAGTAAGAGTTATAGTGTTGTTTACTGAAGAAATACAAATCTGAAGGCTTCAACAGTAAATATTTTAAGTTACAAATAATTAATTTCCGCTTGGCTTGACGCTCGATGTTTTGACATTATTATTACTAGATTGCCAATTTAGAAATCTAGGCACACCATGTATTGTGTTTATTTGTATGTATGCATCGTCCGATATGTTTGTTTGTTTGTGTTTTACGTCTTATTACCAGCCATGGTCATTTAAGTTGCCAGGTTTTAATGGTGAAGGAAAGCCGGAGATCCCGGAGAAAAAACACCGACCGACGGCCAGTACCTGGCGACTTCCCAACGTAGGTCTCGAACCCGCGACCAAGCGGTAGAGGGCTTGTGGAAGCAGAATGTCAGAAGCCTTTCCACTTGTCCACCGCGGTCAGGCACCGTCCAGACCCAACAGAATAGTTCATACGTTGTATAGTAGATTGTAGTCTATTGCTCCGATAATACGGAAGAATTTAATCATCTCATCGAAATCGGAGTTTAGTTCGGCAGTTAACGAAAAAAATTATAACATGAAAGATAACAAACAAATATATGGAAAAAAGTGTGTGTTTAGTGAAATATAAAAGTCCCCTTTACATGTACAATGTCTTTTACCATTAACGTTATTATTTCTAATATTTGGTCGACCCTTTAATTGTATCTGTATTTAATGAGGGCGTTAATTGCACTTAGTTTTTTAAACAAATGATATTTGGTTATAAATGATAAATGCATTCTTGCCGAGCTTTGGATTTATTTTATGGGAGCGAAGCCGTGTGATGAAAATAAAATATTACAATACATGAATAGTTATAAAAGATGTGTATATATATATAATGCTCCCTAGATAAAAAAAAAAAAAAATTGTCAATCGTCTTTTTTGTTGTTCTTTCTGATAAAATCATTAGGTAGCAGAATAAGTTTAAATACTGGTTGGAAAAGGTCAATTCTATCACGGACTTAGTTAGCAATCTAATTCCGTGGTCTGACCTACGAGTCGAAAGGAGTAAAGGGCGTAACTCACGAGATCTGGAAAAATAAGCTATATGCAGATATGATTCTTCATTTAACCAAGGAATTAGACTAGACTGAGATCCATGACTTTATATATTTCGCATTTCGAAACGTGTAAGATAATCAGTTCTTAATTATGAAAATGAAAAATTAATTAACTGATAACATGTAACGTTTTAGTCTATTTTCAACCACGTGTATAATCCATTCAGATACGTGGTCATTCACAAACTCTACTTACAGATTATTGATATATCTGGCCACACACTCTACTTATACTATAAACCACAATCCCTGATCACAAACTAACTACAGACCACTGAAATATCTTGTTAAAAACACTTTTCATAGATCATTGAGATACCTGATCACAAACACCTACATTAGACTATTGACGCAACACTTCCTCAGAGATCAAGTTCAGTCAAGGTAAATATTTTTAAAACGTTTGTGAGGTGTTTACATAATTGAGTTGTTAGTTTGTAAACAACTTCATGACAAACACTGCTTTAATATGTTATTTGCATACATAGCCTTACGCATCGAGATATAAACAGGTGTGAAAGTTATGTGTATAATTTAAAAAATTAAATGAAATGTAGTATGGCAGGTTTTGACTGTATTGTATTGGAGGTAGTTTAAAAGCCTTGCAGCTGTGAACACGTCAGATTTGTTTTCAGAAGCTGAAATCATTAATATCGTCTTGAGCAAATCTAAATAATTTCATAACTGACGCACCCTTAAAAGCTTTCAACTTTTTAATGTATTGGTTTTGTGCATCCAATAAAGTGTGTTATAGTCATATGAATAACATATCTTCTGATGTCGATTACATTTTAGATTAATTTTAGAGATATAGTTTGACGACGCTTCACGATCTGTAGATTTCTTTACACACGTGTACCACGCTACCAGTCGTAAAAGTTCAATTATCATAACTCGGTCAATTTTCAAATATCTAGCTGAAGTTTGGTACATAGGTGTATCATAGTCATATGAATAACACACAGGGGCTCGGTTTTGGGATACTTTCGGTTAGTAATAAACCCATACACACCAGTACATAACAGCAACACTTTTTATCCGGGGTTTATACACATTCTAAAATCTACCCTCAATTTTTATAAGGTTTGAAAAATTAAATACTTGCATATGAGATATTTGAATTTGAAACATATTGTATGAAGGTTCTTATAATTATGGGAAGTTAAAGGGTTTCCCCTGTCAACTACAAATAAATGTAGAGATTCAACTGGGGAGAACCGTGATAACTTGTGATGAATAACTTTATGTACAGATTTGAATTGCATGTACCAGTATATGTGTGCAATCGTATTTTGACAATTATATTGCAGAATCGTAATTAATATTAATGGAAAATTAAGGATCTTTTTATTTTACTGGTATATTATTATATATCTTGGAATAAAAGAATTAATTAATTTTTACACATTGCAAATTGTAGTTCTGAGCCTGGCATAAAATTGGTTAATACCGGTATATCAATTTCCAATGTGATAAGAAAAGCAGAGGGAGAATGTAAATGCAAATGCAAAGGTTAAAACATTTTTAAAATTTAAATAAATCTTGAAAGAAAAGGTCAGTTTCCTGGTGGAAATAATAGTACAGGTTGAAATTATGTAAATACTGCAAACATATATAAAGATAAACAACTATTTATATACAACTCATTTCCGCTTACTTGGTACATATATATACTTGTTAATTTGTTCTTTACTGCATACAACAACAGGACATTCGAACATTTTGGTAGGCAGTCGGTATTACATTTATGATTTGTGAACTTGATTGTTTTTAGTTATCAAAGTATTGGTGATGACCTCTTGTGAATGCCTTTTGTCCGTCATAGTAACTACTTCAGTTATTGTTATGCCCCCGCCATAAAATGAGGTGGCATATAGTGTTGCCCATGTCCGTCCAGTCCCGATTAAATGTAAACACCCGTCCCGTCCCGATTCAATGTAAACACTAAGCAACTTAATTCTTTGACAGATTTTGGTCAAACTGTTTACAAAGGTACAACCCTCCTTAAAATGTGTTTGTGTGTGTGTGTGAGTGTGTGTGTGTGTGTTGGGGGGGGGGGGGGCGGGCATATAGCCCATGTCCGTCCAATCCTGTTGCATCCCGTCCCGTCCCAATTCAATGTAAACACTTAGCAACTTCATCATGTTTGAGTATACTTCGGAAATCGTTGTGTTTCAGGGATCCAAGGTCAAGGCCAATGTCACACTTGCTATATATAGAAAATCATCAACTGATTCAATTCAAACACTTAGCAACTTCATTCTTTCATGGATTTCGATCAAACTTTTTGCATAGGTCAAGTATGAGTATACTTCAGACATTGTTGTGTTTCAGGTTACCAAGGTCAAAACCAAGGTCACTGTTGCTATATATAGAAAATCATCAACTGTTTTAATTTAAACACTTAGCAACTTCATTCTTTCACGGATTTTGGTCAAACTTTATACAAAGGTCAAATATGGGTATACCTCTGACATCCTAGGGTTTCAGGGTTCCCAGACCAAGGTCACTGTTGCTATATATAGACAATCATCAACTGATTCAATTAAACACTTAGCAACTTCATTCTTTCATGGAGTTTGGTCAACCTATATGTAGAGGTCAAGTATGAGTATACTTCGGACATCGTTGTGTTTCAGGGATCCAAGGTCAAGGCCAATGTCACACTTGCTATATATAGAAAATCATCAACTGATTCAATTTAAACACTTAGCAACTTCATTCTTTCATGGATTTCGATCAAACTTTTTGCATAGGTCAAGTATGAGTATACTTCAGACATTGTTGTGTTTCAGGTTACCAAGGTCAAAACCAAGGTCACTGTTGCTATATATAGAAAATCATCAACTGTTTTAATTTAAACACTTAGCAACTCATTCTTTCACGGATTTTGGTCAAACTTTATACAAAGATCAAATATGGGTATACATGTAAGATAATTGTGTTTCAGCGTTCCAAGGTCAAGGCCAAGGTCACTGTTGCTATATATAGACAATCATCAACTGATTCAATTAAACACTTAGCAACTTCATTCTTTCATGGAATTTGGTCAACCTATATGTAGAGGTCAAGTATGAGAATACTTTGGACATTGTTGTGTTTCAGGGTTCAAAGGTCAAGGCCAAGGTCACCGTTGCTATATATTGAAACATCAATTGATTCAATTTAAACACTAAGCAACCTCATTCTTTCAAGAATTTTGGTCAAACTTTATACAAAGATCAAATATGGGTATACCTGTAACATACATGTGTTTAAGCGTTCCAAGGTCAAAACCAAGGTCACTGTTGCTATATATAGAAAATCATCAACTGTTTTAATTTAAACACTTAGCAACTCATTCTTTCACGGATTTTGGTCAAACTTTATACAAAGATCAAATATGGGTATACATGTAAGATACTTGTGTTTCAGCGTTCCAAGGTCAAGGCCAAGGTCACTGTTGCTATATATAGAAAATCATAAAATGATTCAATTTAAACACTTCCAACTCATTTAGTATGTTAATTAGATGGTAATAACATACAGAAAAAAAACATATGAATATTAAAATCAACTTATCAACTTCTAGTTTGAAGGAAAGTTCCATGGTCAAATGCAAGCCAAATTTATTAATTACATGTGAATCTGATCTGCAAGGGGTTTGAGCCCAAAAGAGGAAAAATTGACTTTATTTTCAACTGTCTTTCTATTCAGGCACAGAGATGTTAGAATCAAATACCCCTCATAGATGGAAAGGTCCTATAGGCCTGTTTCAAATTTATGAATATCTTGCTACCTCTGAATCATTCATTCCTCCTGAAT